ATAAGTTAAAATCCTAGCTTTCGCTGGCCACTGCCAGCATCATCAGGGATCAATCTAGGTCAATGGGAGCGCTTATTTATACATGACCAAGCTGTTTCAGCGCCCAACCCATGGATGCCGTCATGGGGCTCAGTCGGCCAATCGAAGTTCCGGTCGCAGTCTCCATATCATTAGCCAGTTTATCCTCGCTACTCCTATCGTCATACACCTTACTGCTCACTTTCCTCCCCCCCTTTTTTTTCGTGTTCCTATGTTAGCTTCATACTCTACCTTGCTAAGAGTGGGTCTATGTTCTATGTCTCCAGAATATTCGACTCCCTTTTTTTCTCGCACTGGGGTGTCCCATTGAGGTGAATTTCCCATCACCTCCACCCCATTTCCACTCGTTGTTTTCACCACCACCCTTTCTGTCTCCGGGTGCCCCGTGGGATATCCTGTCTTGGCTCGTGCCATCCGATGCTCCCCCCTCTCCCTTTCTGCGTCTGGCGACCCCATAGCCATGACCTTTAATCGTCAACGTCACCGCCTCCTCCTTGTTGTCACTGCTGGTTGCCCGGGAGCATGTGCTTGCTCCTGCTCTATCCATTGCCCTATCCACTTGTCCCACTGTTCTATCTGATCGATCCCTCTCCCCCCATCCGAACGATCTCTCCCGTCTCTCCCGTCTCCCCCTTTTCCAAGGAGCGTTGTGTTCATCCGCAAAGCGGCTGCACGGGAGCGTGTGATTGCCCCTGGGACGGGGCGGAACTGCTCTCCCTCCCCTCCCCTTCTTACAGGAGACACTGTGCTCATTCGCAGAGCGGTTGCCCGGGAGCGTGTGATTGCCCCTGAGATGGGACGGAGCTGCTCACTTCTCCCTCGTGCCTCCTGGTGCATCAGGGGTTTCGGGGATTTCGGGGGATGTGCTGGCAGTCCTGGGTCGCCTATCGACGCTGTTGTTTCCATCCGTTGGACTGCCATCCGGGAGCGTGTAACCGCTCCCGAAGCAAATTTTGGGGGGTGCGTTGGTTCCGGCTCACCCGGTGACATTGCCACGTTAGTCCATTGGATTGTTGTCCGAGGGTGCGTAGTTGTTCCCGGGGCAGGACAATGCCGGCCCCTTTTCCCTCGTGTCAAAGTCTCCATACGGGCAGCGGTGGGTATGTCTGCAGGGGTGCCGGTGGAGGTGGAGGGGAGGAAACAATCCCCCTGGTAGCAGCTGTGCCATATGTCAATGTGTACTTGCGATGGTTCTTTGTCCTCCCCATTCCCAGCTGGGATGCTCGGTCTGCCGGGGGTTGGGACGTCGGCATCAACGGGTCTCTCCATTCGTCGAAGGTACTGGCGCTGTATCATGGGTAGGCTCTCAGGTTGGTGGATACCCACTTCCCCGGCATCCGAAAGGCATTGGGGTCGGGGGTTCTCCCCCTCCCATCTCTTCCGTGGTCGGTGGACGCGGGTATTCCATGCCCTTAACGTCAAATGGGCCTGGCATAGGTCTATATGCCTGTTAATAGAGCCCTCACCTGACAGCCAAGCTTCTTTGAGCAACCTGCCGCCTTTGGTATTGTCGCTGGCAATCACCTGCACACCATCAAGATCGAATTTGTGGCCAGTCTCCATCATGTGTGACCACAACTGGGAATGCCCTTCTTCCCTTCTTATAGCAAGCCTATGCTCATGAACCCTTGTCCTAACCCTCTTCGAGGTCTCACCCACGTAATTAACGGGACACTCGTTGCAGCTGATCTTGTATACAACTCCCGACTTTTCTATCGTGGGGAGCGGGTCCTTGGGTCTCATGATGCTGGACCGCAACGTTCGGTTAGGTTTGTGTGCCACCCTAACATTGTAGGGTGCCAGTAACCTAGCTGTTGCTTCCGAAACGTTGCTGATGTAGGGGAGAGTGACTCGGGTCATCTGTGGCAGTGGTTCTTCTAGCCGTTGGCCACTTGGAGGCCTGGATAGGACGCTATGCCGCCTGATAAACTTCGTTGGGTACCCATTACGTTTGCATATGTGGAAGAGGTGTCTCCTTTCCTCCACCTTAGCTCTAGCTGTATTGCAGTGAGAGTCTATCCTCTTAAAGAGGGTTCTAATACAGCTGACCTTGTGGGTCATAGGGTGATTGCTGTCGAAGTGCAACACCCTATCAGTGTGAGTTGGCTTGCGGTACACTTTAGTCTGTAGGGTTCCATCCAACTGGCGATGGACTAAAACATCTAAAAACGCCAGTTTACCCTGTTGTTCCTCTTCTTCGGTAAATTATATGTCCGCATACACTGAATTGAGCACACCCACAAAGTCAGCTTTTCGACTCTTGATGACTACGAAAGTATCGTCAACATAGCGGGCCCAAAATTTGGGGCAATATTGGGCCATCGCTACCCGCTCTAACTGCTGCAATACAGCTTCTGCTATGATGCTGGAAATGGGTGACCCCATGGGGGTGCCCCTAATCTGTTCATAGGTGATGCCCTGAAATGTGAAATGGGTCTTAAGACAGATCTCCAAAAGGTGCACAAGGTCTCCCAGGCGGAGGGAGTCTCGCTGCTGTCCAGGTTCCTTACACAGAAGGAGATCTTTAATTACCCTGGTAGCCAAATCCTGAGGAATAGAGGTGAAGAGGGAGGTAACATCAAAAGAAACCATCACCTCTACCCTCA